GAAATTTTTGTTAAGTATTTTTATTTGATAAAAATATTTTCAATTATTATTTATAAATATATTAAATTTTTTATCTAAATTTATACTTAAAATATTAAAAACTCAAAGTAAGATTATTAAAAATAAGCAAAACAAGTATAAAATTAGAATAAACTCGCACACGATATTAAAATGAACCTGTGTAGCTGGTCGCTACCCACTACGCGAAAGGGAACTACATTAGCAATCTGAGTGACTCATAAAACAATACTCAATTATAGCGATGACTACGATATCAGTGGTGTATCTGTCTTAATCCAGACTTAAAACAGTTTGTATTTCCCGGCGTTAAAAAAAAAAAAAAAAACAGTTTGTATTTGCTATTAGGAATTGAAATGATGATGAGGATTGCATTAAGTGTGACACATGCAGTGAAACAAGGAACTCATAATTCCTTAGGGAATTTTCTAATCGTTTGATATTAGTAAGCTTACGAAGTGATAGCTCCCAAATTTTGTTTGTGATCTCCACTGGTTATGTCCTATTGTCCTATAAATGTGGTTACGGTTTTGATAACCCTATAATGTTTGTTAAAATCTAGCTATTTTAAATGTATAAATAATTATGCAAACAACTTAATTAAATATTTCATTAGTGAATTGAGAGATAGAAGAAGGTTTAAAGCTGTGAAAAATGCTTGAATAATTGTTAACTAGGTTAAGAGCATGTCTTGATTGTCTAGGTGGTGTAGTTGGATGTCACATTATTCTCACATGCTAGAGGTTCTGAGTTTAAAACTACATTTAAATAAGCAAGTCAAGCAAACGTCGTAGGTTAGATTTAAAGTCTTTGTGTCGATACTTAAAAAAAATTAATTTTTTTAAATATATCATAATGATATGAGAGTGTGTTTTAAGGTCACTCAAAAGAGATTTTTTTTTCTAAATTTTATAATTTTTATTTGATATCTAGCAAATTTTTAATAGAGTGCACTATTTATTCTTCTTTTTTTCTCAAGTTATCTATATTTAAAAAGGCATCTGGCCCTTGGGGCCAAGTGGTCTCTGACCACATAAGATGCATTCTCCCCTTCTCGGGCAGGGTTCAAATCTATCCCACATGTAATACTGTTAAAAAAAAATCTATGTTTAAAAAAAATTACAACATTCTGACATAAACAATCTCAACCACATAACTAATTAAATTTAAAATAAATATTTCTATTATCTCACACTCATTTAATAGCTATGATTTAACAACATATTTTTTCTTTAAGTATATTTTGATGAATATTGAGAAACCGTCTAAATTTTTTTTACTCAAATCGAACTCCGGCTTAACCGAGCTTTAGGCTTGCGCTCCATAATCCATTGCTTTTTGTGCTTTAGAGTTTAAAATATATTTTGTCTATTTTAGGAGACCCAAAAATGGTTTTCCCATCCCCCTTTAGTGCAATTAGTAGGATAGGTCAAATTTACCCGAAAGCCTGCAACACAAAGACGTTGATGGGCTTTATCTTTATCTGGGCCCAAGATATTCTGGTTGGAAGACAATGGAACTAGTTGGAATATAACCAAATTCCCACATCGGTTGTTTACTAAAATTACTGAACTTTATAAGTGAAAATAGAGGACGACCTCCTGTCGGTTCGAGGACATCTAATAAAATTGAAACGATACAAAGAAAATTTGCATGGCCCCTGCGCAAAGATGACACGCACAAATCGAGAAGTGGTATTACCTACTAAGCTCTATGCTTGTTCTAACTGCGTTGCATTTTTCTTATTTGATACACATTACTATGAGTTTTGTGAATTGAAAGCCTGCATTCTTATAATATCCCAAATTTTTTGAAATTCTAGCATTTAAATTGAGGACTTTGTGTGAGAAAATATTATTTTGAGACTTATTAACTAAAATATCCAAACTTGAGGGACTTAAAAAAAAAGATTTGGATGAGGATTAGCTATTTTTTTTTCCTTCTTTCTTCTTCCTTAGCTGCCCGATTCTGTTCTTTTCTCCCCTGCACCGAACAAGAAGCAAGCCACCGACTGCACCACCCATTTGAGAAAACCGGTAAGAGAGTTTGTGTTTTTCCCTTCTTTTCTTGTTCAAGAACAAGATTTAAGCTTGGAAATCTTCTCCCCCCCTGCAGAATCCCGGATCTGCTCTGCTCTGTTCTGTTCCTCACCGTCTGCTGCTCTTGCTTTGTGGGTGCGAATTTCTCTGATTTTTGGGTAAGAAACAGCCACTAATTCCTTTTTTCTTCCTCGAATTGGCTTGGGTTTACCTTAATGTCTCTTAGTCTCTCCCAATTTCCGGTAGATTTCTTGATTTTTCCTTCCATGCCCGTCGGCCTCCCTCAAACGCACCAGTCCGACTTTGTTTGCTGAAAATTCCTGGTATGTGATAGCTCCATTTAAGTCCCAAATTACCCATTAGTTGCTGAATTTTTGTCCGTTAATTTGTTGCCCGTGATGTCCAAAATTCTGCAGAAAAAAAAGGGATAAATTCCGGCAGCCTTTGAACATGTTTTAAGTTTAATTCATGTAGAAAATTAGCTTATTTTGGCTGCTGTGATTTTTGGAGAAAACCCCGTGATTTGCAATTATTTTGCCAAAGTTCAGGTTCTCCCTTTTCTGTCCGTGAATTTGGAAATTTTGGTATATATGTGTTGTGTATAATTAAATCAATAATTCGAATAAAAGCCTTGTTCCTCATTGTTTTATCCGTAGATTGGGAAACCATTTATATATGTATTTGTGTATATAAATGTATATATACACAATCCGGTTAATGAAAATAAGTAAATAAATGAAATTGCTTATAGAATTAATTCTTGGATATTTGGTTAAGTCCTTGATCCTTGTGGCACTTTAGTACTTGGATTGAGTCATCAGTTTTATGCGAATTGAGGTAAGTAAATTATGATAATACCCTTCGATTTCAAAGCATGTTTTAAATTATTTTTGAGATGGTGGCAAGGTTTAAATTGATTTTGTTGATACCGAATATGATTGGTTTGAAATGAAATTATTTTCATTTTCATTGAGTAAAGCATGCCTACTTAGAATTTACTGAACTGCTTTGATGATTTGAGAATTTTTGTAAATTATGATTTTCCTGTTAAATCCATGCCTACATGGAAATTTTTCGATTATTTCCGGAATTTAAGATTGATTGTGAATTTTGAAATTTTCTGTAAATCTTGCATGGTTTTGTCTCTGATATAGTCATGATTTCTGACCCCGCTAGTGGGAATAAACGCCAGCACATGTCGACATGTTTACTGATAGAACCGGTTCATTCTGTAATCCTGCCAATGGGATAATATATTGGTAACTTCTAACGCTTGCAACTGGACGAATACATTGGTAATTTCTAACACCTGCAAATGGGCGAACACATTAATAACTTCTGACACCTGCCAATAGGCGAACACATTGGTAATTTTTTACGCTTATCAATGGGCGAACACATTGGTAAATTCTTACGCCTGCCAATGGGCGAACACATTGGTAATTTCTGACGCTTGCTAGTGGGTGTTAGACATGGCCATGACTTATAAATGAGACTACTGCTGAATTTTCTTCTGCATTAACGGTTTATCATTTAACGTTTTGTTATGTTAAACTGTTTATCAGGCATGTTAAAATTTTATTCATGGGTTGTCCATATCTTTATTTACAGAGATATTTTATCTCATAGTTTTCCTTAACCACCATTTCAAGTAGTGTGACCCGAGATACGAGAAACCAGGGGAGTGACGAGTTAGAAGGCTAACCATTTTGTAAATTGAACATAGAGTTTAGATATAAATCATGATCTTGTAAGTTATATTTTATTTGGAGATTTTATGATATAAGGGCAAATTTTAAAATTTTATCTTCAAATTTTGTGATATTAGATTGTGGTATGATAAGTTTCAAGTCTTGTGCATTTGTGGGACCCTCTCACAAGTGCACGACATCTGCCACGTCCCTGAATTTGGGTTCTGGGGCGTGACATTACCCGTGTTGGTTTAGGTTTTCTATCTGCTTTAACATTTGGTATAACTTGCAAATTACATTACATTTTATAAACTTATAGTGCATTTGAGATTATTGTGAAGTGTTGTGGTTATATTAATTATGTTGTAATTGAAAATTATTTTAATGTTTAGTTATTTATTTTTTAAAAGTATTATGATAAAATATGATAGAGTTGATTAATTATTAATTAAAATTTTAAAAATATTATAAAATATATAATTATTAAAATAGATAATATTTATTATTTTTAATAATTTAAGTTTTTTAGATTTGTTATAATTATAAAATATTATAAATGTCATGTAATTAAATTATATGAAGTTGGATTTTAATAAGTAATTTTATAATTATATTAAACATTAAGTGTTCTCTATAAAAATCACAGTTAAAAAACTTAAAAATGAGATTTTTGATTTTATATATAAAATTACTATAAATCTGCTTAGTTTTCTGTGACTTTTAGAAAAAGTATACTTAGCTTTCAGTGATTTTTAGAAAAAGCAGTCTGAAAAAAAAAAAAGACCAAATACATATATATCTAAAAGTATTATATAATTACATGAAAAAGTTTTCAATGCAATCCGTGACGCACCTTTAATTTGTTGAGATTCACCAATTTAACCAAGAACATTATACATGCAATTTCTAATGCTGTATGTGAGTTTTCTTTCTGTATGATAATATATGCTCAGACTATTACTCATCCATTATACTGTTGAGATTGCGAGAATCAGAAAGATTGGAAACCTGTAAGGAAAGAATCCTCTAGCATCAATCTATGATTATAATTAGTCACTAATTACGTTTTTCCTTTATTAGATTAGGGCAACACACTAAGCTTGTATCTAAGTGTAGAGTCCTATCCTTGTATTCTCATGTAAATATAGAAAATTTCCTACCATTTTTGAGTCACACATTTAGAAAAGTGAAGTGCAATCCACCATGTGCGTACTGTACTTCACTTACTATCAACAGTTAATTGTTTTGGGTGGACTACAAGGCAACATTCTGTTATATATTATACTTGCAGATGCAGTTGCTAACGCGTCTTGAAGGTGGTGTTCCTCGATTGGTTAGGCTGCATTGGCCATGCCAAAATTGGCACCTCCATGCCAATACTCTCCAAACTCAAACCCCAACCACAATGCCTCATGAAACCCCAGGGGAAGGCTGGGCCAAAATTTCCTCCTGAGGCACCCACCCTCCGACCATCATCCCTGCTCCTTGCATTCTGTCTTCAAACCCTTCAAGAAGCTCAGAACTTTGTTCTTCCTCTGCAAAACCATCTACTCTATCTGCATCTCTAAGTACCTAGATAAACTTGATGTTGCTTTCTTCTAATCTGATTGCGAATTCCCTAATCTCTCTATTCTTCCATATAGGACATGTTGTCCCGAGAGATATATATATCACAAAATTGGCGAAGATTCGGCGAAGGTTCGAACAGAGGATGAAAATGGACAAGGAAGTGAGTAGACCCACCATGGGTGGGCGTAGGAAGAGGCAAAGGAGGATTGAGGAGCTCATGGAATTGGACTTTGGTGAGGAGAAGGGGGTCTAAGTATCAAAGCTTGGCTTGGTGAACATGTATGGAAA